ATCTTTAATGCTAAATATTCATTAAGGATATCAGTGTGCAGAAGATTTTAGAAAGAAACGTTTCAGATATCTGAGGTTTAATTAAAAAACACCCACATAATATTGTAGTTTTTTCAATGATAAACTGTTAATTTGGTTGAATGGACACAATAATATGCATGTCTCACATTTAAAAACTTAATTACAGCAGGCAGAGGGCAATCTGTTGTAGCTCAAGAGGTGAGGGAAACAAAAACAGCTGGATTAAGATGGAATAATTTAGCATATTTCTAATTATTAAGCTAATTTTAAAAACTGTCATATTGGAATTCAAACTGCTAATTCAGAAACTATGCCCTCCTAATACACCTCTACTACAAAACCCATTTAAATAAATGCATTACACTCTCTGCATACACAGTGCAGATAGACACAGTGTGTAATGTGGATGGACTGTCTTGTAGACTGTGTGTTTATGGCAGGAGGTTTGCAAAAAGCCTCCCTCAGTGTTTACCACTGAGGGCAGATGTCAGGGTTTGCTGTGGAGGAGCAGACACAGCCACATCTGATTAACAATATTATTGTCCTCCTCCACACCGCCATAAAGACTCATCCTCCCCCCACTTTTCCTTTCTTTCTTTCTATTTCAGGCTCTGGCAGCACGCTGTCCTGTGGCATGGCTGAGCCAGAGTGACACTGCCACCATCCACAGTAACAAAACATGAGTCAAGAGCCAGCAGGTTAAGACAAACAGCACTACTTTCTCTTACCAGGCAGAAACCATAAAAATATCTCGGTGTATATATATATATATATATATATATATATATTTAAAAAAAATACATACTTTATATTCAGATACACTGTGAATCATTTGTACTGTTATTTTTGTGCAATTATGAAATGCATGTAACTTGAATTCAGAACAAATCATTAGCATGTCTGCAACAAGTGAAACACCAGGGGGTAAAATTTACTCACATCTCAGCTTCAAAAAAAGACATCAGAGTATAAATCATGAGTCTCATGGGAGTGTGTCTGTGTGTTCATATGTGCATGTACAGAAAACCTGCGCATCAGCCTGACTGTAAATTTGTGTGTTTGATTCTAAGCCTCTCATCGCTCCTCTGTACATTTTGATTGGTGATTTTTTTCTTCTTTCCGTCGCCAAATTGTCACAAAGGCAGTAACCCCACACGTTTCCAAGCTGCTTATTGAAGACAAACAATAAACTACTGGCAGATATCAATGGCAGAGATGAGAACCCGGGTGCCATATCTGCTGGGACTGCCTGGCGAACCTGCCTCTGCCTGCGCTTCATCTCCAGCAGCACCTCTCACTCTCAATTATTTGGCTGCTGTCACAACAAATCAATCAAATTACCGCTCCAGGACTGTGTGCAGCTGCTCCTATTGCACCGCTAGTTGCATTAGCTTTGAAATGTATGAGGTCTACATTTTATCACTGTTATTTATTTAATGCGGCTCTCTCCCCTGCGAGTCATCTTACAACCACAGCAAAGTTAAATCATTAAAGGACGACGTGGAATACATACTGCTTGAGAACACTTCAAATTAAACAGCGATAAGGGAGAAAGGATGGGGTTGGCCTCTATTGTGTTGAGATGGCAGATGTTGATGTGAGGAAATATGGACTTCTTGCACTGGGTCCTATTAATGAACTCTTCTGCTGGCTGAATGTGCAAACAAACAATAGCTTATCTCTTTCCTTATCCCAAAATGATTCGACAGATATACACATGAGGAAGAGAATCCCACAATGAGCAACTAGTGCGGCTATAACAAGCCCAAAAAGGATGTTTGAAGTTCTCCAGCTCCTATAATGTAATGGGTAAAGGGACACAGAGGCATTCCCACAGCAGACAGAGGTTAAGTCAGTGGCCCGGCCCGGTGAGCTAACCTCTTAAAGGAGCAGCAGTCAGCTGAGGCAGAAGAGATGCACTCTGACATGTCTAACTAGTGTGGAAACATTTGGCTCTTCCCCCAGGAGCCCAGCCTTTGGTGGTGTAATGAGCAGAGTGATTTCCCTAATTTGTATCATGCCAACACCCACAACCTGCGAACGACACTGCTGAGCATTTTCATCAAAACGGCAGACATGCCTTTGATTGGCACTGACACCGGGTCTCATTACCGCAGGTGAGTGGGATGCCGACCTTTATCAGGAAGCCTGAGTGCTGTTTTGTGTTTCTTGCGGACGAGTACAGAGGAACAATGCTCTCACCTCACCATTAGAACTCAGCTCTCTGATGTGATGCGCTGCCTGGCTTTCTGCTGAGAGCAAATAAGATGGGATATGCTTATTAATATGAAAGAGCTCCAGTAAACTAGCTTCTTGCATTACCTTTGAGTGAGTCATGGAGAAGAGGAGTAGACAGATGAGACTTTGTTCTGCTTCCTCCCATTGAGCATTACATGTACAGTGCTTTGATACAACTACTTTTACAAGTATGGTAATCATGCTTTGCTTGTGCTACAATCATGTGAAATGAAAACCTATTAAAATGCAGCTGCAAGTTAGCGCCATATCTAACAACCAAAATCTGTAGATGTTTTGTCTGCATCAGTTGTGCATACTTGTGTTAAAAAATGTGAAAATCATATATGATTTTTTTATTCATATGAGCTGTCGTATTTACAGACCTCTAGCATGACCCAACCTAGTTTTTGCCTCTGTGAAGTCAGCTAGAATTGTGTGCACTCTGTCACAAAAGATAACTTTCTCCCTTCTTTAGTTTCATTGGGAATTTGTTTTTACTGCATGTTTGCAGGCATAAATCATTCTGACAAATAACCAGTTACACTGGTGCCTGTGTTTACTGAGTCTGCCACAAGATGCTGCTCAGTTTTATTTAAGCAACCGCTCCAACTTTATAGCACAACCCCATTACAGTGATAGTTATTCATCACAGTCTGAGAGAGCTGCTCTCCTAAAGCTCACAGCAGTCCAGCCGGTTCCCTTCTGTCAACAGAGCCAGCTTTGATAAGTACAATCAAAACACTGTTGTCACTGTTGCTTGTTCTGATTTGTCTCCTCATTTAATTTCCCTCATTAAGGCTGAATGTAATAATGTAACTAATATGCAAAAATACCTAAATCTGACCTGATCTAACTTATAAAGATTGTATTCATGTAAAAAGTAAAAGTCTGAAGACCGTGAGACTACCAGCATGCTGACTCTCATGTTAAGTACACAATTCCTCCACCCGCAACCGCCCATTCCCCAAGACAAACAGCCTTATTAGTTGGTCATTAGCCGCCTCATTACATTTAAATACAGCCATTGGCTGGGCTCCTCCTGGAGTCTCATTACTGTGCCTCACAGTTGTCTTGTGTCTGATCTGACGCTAATTAGCTAGCAGCGTGAGTGCTGTAAAGCACACTTGCTCCTGAGGTCGTGAAATGAGCCGACTGCTCCCCAGCGACAGCGTGGCGCTGTATTATATGTGTGATTAATCAGGCCTGGAGACCCAGAGGGGCTGGGAGGGGAAGCGACAGGGAAGCAGGGGCAGAGGCCAGAGTTGCAGTTGTCTGACAGAGGTGCTGTGCCAGCAGGCCTCATTCAGAGGAGCTGTGATGAACTCAGACAGGGGAGAGTGGAGGAGCGCCGTGTGGCCAGAGGGGCCCGGACACAGTCAAGACATTTAGCTTCACTCGTGACTTGTGTCACTTTCTCTCCATGGAGGTCCCTTCAATGCATCCCCTTCAGATAAGAGGACGTGCGAACAGGCAGTCTGTCAGTCCACACGCTTAAAAAAAGATCTGCCACAGAGGCATTTCTCCGCAACAGTTTTTTTCCACTATCTCTCATGGATGGGGAGGTTTATCAGGACATTGGATTCCAGACAGTCTGTTGGTTTGTTTGGCAGTGGACAATAAGGATGACTGAGAGGTGTTTGTTTTGGCATTCTGACACCCTGACAATGTGTTTGTCGATCAGTTCATCAGATCACTGAAGCCTCTGGGTTGTCCCTCATGCACCAGGAGGAAGATCTGTTGAAGTGTGAGTCAGACAGGCCTGCTGGGCCCATTATCGTCCACTAGTGACGGATACATTGAAGGGCTCGCTGGATAGATGCGGGTTTATTAAAAGCTCTGCCCACAGCGATGGCTGCTGTTATTTATGCATGTTTGTGTCCATTAGGCTTCTACCTCCACATTTCCTCACTCAGGGCATCTGTCCATCCATTTCCCCACATGAAGGGAGCCTTCCCTGCACTTTGTGCTGCACTGGCATTATTGTAATCTCCATCCTAAAAACACACTGCTTTACATGTAGCCTGGCATCTTTTTACATTAGTGCAGCTCTCTCATCCAAGATTTATGACTGCTGTTTCCCCATCCATCCCTCAATCTAATGGTATAAAAGAGACAATGTTTTAAACATTAAAATGAAAACCATTTACAACTATGATCAAAAGAGAACACTTGGACATTAAAGTTTTAAAGGCAAGGATAAGTACGGCCATGTGGATGGACAGATGAGGTGGAAAAGAGATAAAAAAAGTGAAGTACAGTGCACTCATATTCACAGAAAAGAAGCATAAAGTGCTTTTGCGCTGCACTGCAAAACGTTGACCTGTAATTAATATGGTTGTTCCTCTGGGCAAGTTGAGGATGGCAGCTTTTTGGGATACAAATCCCTGAAGGATTCTTACCTGCTCAAAAGCTTTGTAAAGCATTTTTATTAAAGAGAAAACAAAATACTGTTCCATGTCATCCACTGGAAGTATAAGAAACTCTCATTGGGAGCAATATTTGTAGTGTTTATTTATAGTAGTTCCTGGTAAATATGGTGTTTCACGTTCTATGAATCATCATGTGTAATATAGAATAATACAGAAGTGACCATGCAACAATGGATTTATATATCAGCTTCATAAAGTAGTAGCTGAATTATTTTCTGTTTTCTCCCTGGGTCGTCATGTTGACCTTGATTTGTAACACTAATGAGTTTTTTGTTTTCTGTAGCTGCATGTCCATTTGGCACTTTTTCTTACCTTGCAGGTTCTGGAGGGGGAGTGTCATGATGCCCCCTGCAGCAGCAGCAGCCACCAGGCTCTGGATGTTGGCCGTGGGCAGAGAGAGGACCAGGCCCTGCTGCCCGCCCAGGTGCCCGCCTGCGTTGAAGGGGATGAGGATGGGCTGGTTCATGCCTGGCGCTGTCCCAGACATCACGCCACCTACTGCATTGGCCAGCTGCTGCGCCACCAGGAGAGACTACAGGACACACACACACACACACACACACACAAAACACACATGCACAGACACGTCCATAGTATCATTGGAGATAGTTTTTCATGTCATCAAAAATATCATCAGCTATGTAACACAAGGCATGTAAAACAAAGCCTTTACTGGACTTTGTCTTTATTGGATTGCTTATTTTGGAGAAGAGAGATTTACATCCTCCACGAAAATGCAATAAAAGTCTGTAGTATCACAACACCATTAATGCTAGCTATCCCATTATTGTGCAACCAAATTAACTGTATATGTGGTATGGGCAATGTGGTTAAACCCATTTTACAATATTGATAAGCATATATTCCAATAGTGTAAATGAACTGACATTGAAATAGAATTAAATATAAATATATAAATAACCCTAAAATAATCTTAACTGATAAACTCTGTTCCACCATTAAGGATTACATGACACCAACTCTTCATATGTGTAAAAAAAATAAAAATCACAGCTTGCTCAAAGTCAGTGATCAAAACACCAGAATTTTCCAAAATGATAACACGATAATGATAACATGATTCCTCTGTAGTGTGTCTGGTCCTACTTCAGTGTACTGCAGAACACTTGTTTTACCCAAATAAAATCCAGAATAAACACGTTTAACTGGTGAATACACACATTATTTTATAGCCTGGGGTGCTTAATTGAGACAAGTAAAGCAGTAAAGGAGATGTCATCAACGTTACTGCATGACCAATCAATGCGTTTTGATGAATACAGTTGTTTTGCAGCTGAATTCTGTGCTTAGCTGTGTCACAGACTGACAGTCAAAACACACTGCCGTTAGTACTGACAGAGATCAAATCCAATTTTTCTGAAAGAGCTGAGAACTTTTCTTTCACAGAGATGCAGAGTGATTTATGTTTCATCCCATTGAACAAATCCCTGGTACCACAGAATTGTGCCTGAAATGCACAGTACTATTCAAAAAAAAAAGAAAAAAAGTGGCACTGCTTTACTCTTTTGATGAGGGATATAACAAATCACTCTCATCTCTTCATGTATCCATTCATTCATATTAGTAAAAGTGGAATCGGTGCAGTCATACCCATAGAGGAAAAGATATGTTATCAGAAGTATCGCTCTGAGATATTTTGCACAGTAGCAGATCTCTTCAAATGCATTTTCCGAGGAAGTGGGTTTGGAAATACACCAACACATTTTTCATCGAGAGCTTTGAGCCCGAAGTGGGAAGGTTTGTACCATGGCTGAAATCTCCATGAATACACTGGGAATGACATGTTAAATTTCATTCATTCTCATAAAACCTTTTTCAAATTATGTCAGCATTGGAGCATGTCACACTGAATTTGCACAAGAGGTACGAGACGGGAGATGCTGAAGATGCTGCAAAATCCAACAGAGTTACTCTTTAAACATTGAATTGAATTGTTTGGAATAAAACTAATAAAACGACATTGTCAGCTTGTGTTGTGTCCACAGTAAAGCAGCCTTTAGACGTTGCTAGGTAAGCCTGGCTGCACTGTGTTGACTCCTCCACTGTGACTTAAGTTCACAAGCCTTTAACTCCAATTGTCAGCTATCTGCTTCTGTTTTGCATGGTGTGTCTGCAGCTTGCACAGGATGCAGAGCGGGCTGACTGGTGCGAAGAGCCCGCCATACACCCGAGCCTGGTGCTCCTAGGTGACAGGCGTGTCACTGTGATAACCCTGCATGGTGCAGAACGCCTGCACCCACTCCGACACACATGCGATCACAGTTTAAGAGGTACGAGGTCACGTGAGTTTAAAGCCACAAAACACGCAGAGATCTCAGGGTGAAATATCTGCACTGAAAGACAAACGAATACCTGTTTGTTTTTTCTAAGCTGTTAAAAGAATAAAATAAAAAAAGCAGAGAGAGGTGATTGTTGCTGGCAGGGGCAACTAGACACACTGTATAGGATTCCTCTTTCTCAACATTTGCTTTGATACACAACAACAGTGCATAACCAATGACAATATCTGACGCTTCTGAGAGCATTCAAAATGACATTTGCCATTAACTTTAAAAAATGAATTAATAATTCGAGAGCTCAAAGAATCCTCAAAGGACAATAACAAAGGCGACGCGTTTGTTAGCTGCAAGTGACATATGTTTAATCTCGTGTTTTAAACTAAATTTAATCTTGAATCGAAGCAGCATATAATCAAAGACACTCTTTGAACATTTCATCTCTGAGCCAAACAAAATGAGATTGCCAAGCTTGACAGCAAAGGCAGCCTCACATGGAAGGGAATAACATTAAAAGACAATTCTACAATTATCAGATGTAGCCCTGATTTATTTATCATTACAGGCAGCTTTGGAGAAGCAGGCAGCTGTTAGGCACATAGGCAGCTGCAGAGAGAAAGCACTTTGGAGATTTTTTTTGTAAAGCATGCAAGAGTTCTTGGTCTTTAGGCTGTTTGTTGTGCCAGTTTAAGACTGATTTTTATCTGCATCGGAGGTGAGAACACTGTACATGCACCTATCAAAATCAGAGATAAGAATAAATTTAGCGTGAACACAATTAGCACAACTCTGCAGCCACACAACAAGCTTTCACCAAAAGAATCCCCCAGCATCACTCATCTAGATTTACAAGCAGTTCCCCTTCTGCCTTTATGCCTGATACTCTCACTCTTCCTCTCCATAGGTGCTGCTGGAAAGCTGCTGCACAGTGCTTGGCAGGCCTGACAGCTGAGTGTTGAGAAGTGGTCTCCTAGGGGCCACACTGACGCACAGAACTGGGTGTGTGTTGGGCTCTGGATGTGGAAGCAGCCCCACTCAGGACTGGATGTGGAACCCAGCCTCTCTGCCCATCAGGGGAGAATAGGCCCTTCTATCTGCTTGGCAGCTCTGGCACTGAGAAATTGCCCATAATCACCCAGATAGCAGACTTTTGTCATCCTAACTGCGAGTGGGAAACAGAAGGAAGGTGGATTCATGTTGGGTAAACTACCATCGGATAATGGTTGTTCGAACAATATCCGGCTCTGGAGCGAGAATCTATCAAAACATATTGATCCTGGAACAAGAGAATTGGGTATGGCATGCGGAGCGCCTTTGTTTCTGAAAAGTGTTAGCTTCACAGAGACTGTACTGACAGCATTAATATATTAGATGGTGACTGTTGAGAGCCGCCTGCTGAGGCTCAGACTCTAACTGTTGCCTGCTCGAGATGCTCTCCCTTTGTGTTTATTTCTTATCTATTACCAAAACAGTGGCTTTTACCAGCGAGAGTATGTGTAATAAGAAAAGTGCTTTTAATTAAGCTCATTCTTTATCTCCACTTGCACCAGATTGACTTTTTCACCGGGGGATTTCTCACCCTGCAAACCTACCCAACAAAGCTGAACGGCTTTCCTCCTCTCATGTTTCCTCTTTTGTTTATCCTGATGAGGATTGACTGTCATTGAGTAACACTGTGAGCAGGGAGAATGGCCTTATTAAAGCCAGTGGAGGAAACCTGACGCTGTGTGTGTGTGTGTGTGTGTGTGTGTGTGTGTGCGTGTGTGCGTGTGTGTTGAGCGGTGACATTGAGCAACACTAATGAGATAGATGTTCATTAAACACCGGCGAGCCACCAGGCCAATAAATCCAATCAGATAGGACAATGCCTGATTGAGCTATTAACAGGGCTGCAGGCCCGGCCTCTTTGCTCCCCTGCTTGTTTTGACAAGGCCGGTATTGTCAGCTCATTAGTGCCTCAACTCAATTACATTTGAAGATGATGTGTGATGACAAATAATATTACAATTTCACATTTTAGCTGAAAACGATTCTTGCAGCATTCAGTGAAGGTGTTCCACCTTATGTTTCACTCAGCGTGTTTAAATGCACTGAAAGAATTTGATTAGAAGCAGAGTAACACTGTAAGCTGATTATTGAAGCCGTCATGCAAACACCTTAATCTTTCTCTCATTACTGCTTTGATCAGAGTAAACATAACACGATTAACAGGGCTGAGTTAGTCGTCAATCTTGTGCATTACTCCTAGTGTACATTACTTAGTTCGGCTTCTTCCGAGTATTTTTATTCTACACACGTGCGCTGTGATCAAGTGAAAGTAGAGCAGCGTGGCTAGTGAGGGCAGAAGAATAAACATTTTCAGAGGTCTGCAGTCAGTTAGAAAACAGGGGAGACACAGGGGGCTGTTGGAACAGTTCAAACTGGGGGCAGGCGATCTGATGCTTTTATATTGTGATCAAGCTTGAAGACATACATGATCTGCCGTTCAAGCCAATCGTAGAGATTGTGACATTTTACCATTTGTGCCAGCTGTACTTGGTTTACCCTAATAACGTGGATTGGCCAAATTATATCACTTGTCTCTATCATAGGGTCTCTTCAATGTGTGACGTATTTGGAAAATAATTGGGCTAGCAGCATGGCGGATGAGGAGCTGGTGCCAAAAAAAAAAAAGAAAAAGAAAAAGACTCCACATACCAGTATTTCTCAAAGCAAAGTTATCTGTAAACATTGTCGGGCAAGAGTCGAGGTAATATGACAAATCTACTCAACCACTTTAAAAGGACGCATCCGAAAGAATGTGCAGATTGTGTTTCACTCAGGCACTCAGGTACAACCCCACTCATCTCACTCATATCTCACGAGGTCATGAAACATATACACTTATCGCCTGACAATAAAAACAGCCAACGATGGAAAGAGGTGACTGAGGCAGTGCCGTTCAAACTGTGGACAATGTGAGATTTAAGACATTGATGCACATGAACATTTTGAAAACTGTCTCTTACATGCAACATCGTTTTACTTAAATGTTGCAAACAAATAAGTCTGTAGTCCGGATAATCTCAACGGTGCATTTCAAAATTGATGAAAAAAAGTTTCACAATTCAGATCTTGGATCGCAGGTTAAAAAGATCATGGTATGATTTTTTGGAAAGATCACCCACTCTTAGTTTGAAACGACAAAAATGCCCTTGGGAGAACTTGCAGCAACTAATGAAAACCCAACAAAAGATCATGTTTCCAACGGCAAGAGTTTCCTCATAATAACCTTTGATAGGAAAGAGAGAAGATCCTCCGATACAAATCGACTTCACTTATTACATGTGTAAAATGTGAGGAGTGTTGGTCATGGGACTACTGTCAGCAAAAAAAGAACGAAATGCATGTAACTCTAGAAACTTAAACTCACCATTTTCTGCCACAGTTAAAACACTTTTGGCTATTTCACCTTGGAGATTTCAGTTTTTCTTTCTCTGGTTAACATGCACTAATTGGGATTTTTCTATATTTGAATCTGATCGTTACTAATTTATTCATGAATATTCAAAGTTAGAGAGAAATACTTACAGTTTGAAGCAAAGTTTGCAAGGGCTTATATGGTATGGGACTGTTTATCTCAGCTGCACATACCTGATGCTACTTTTTGAAAACCCTTTCACATTTGTTTGTCATCTTATTTTGCCAGTTGTCTCTTAATTACATTTTCTCCAGACTTTCTGTGAGCCTGAGGAGAAGGAGGCTCACTCCACTTTTATCAAGGTATTCAACATTATCACCATGCGGAGTGTTTGGGTTCAGTTTATCGCAGATCCTCATATCACTCACCTGTGGACCCATTGGGTATCCTGGGTGAGACTGGCCCAGTTGACTCTGCTCTGAGGGACTGCTGCTGGCGTCGGACTGGACCGAACCGTCACGAGCTCCTGAGAGGGCGACAGAGATCCACGCAGGAAAGCGGACAGAAGAGGAGAAAACAAAGATTCCACCTTAGATCAACACAGTAAATATAAGTTGATAAACACACAACACAGAGCGCACTGTAATATTACAATACACAGTGCTGTATGCAACTGTGGAGGGCAGTTGGGAAAGGAGGGAAATTTGTATTTAAGTGTTTTATCAATAACCGCTGAAGAACTGTATAAATTACGAACCAGTGGAGAGGCTCATTGATGGGAGATGATGCATACTGGCGGGTCCCCGATGGCCTAGATTACTGCTGAGAGATAGAGCTCCACCACAAACGCTGGGGCCATATTATTCAGCCATTTACATCACTGAGTATCACTCATCTAAACCCCCCACCCCGCCCCCTGCTCTGAGCCCGCAGCTACGAGACACAATTAGACCTGTTTGCTATGAGGGCAGAGTGGAGCAGAGCAGACAGGGACATGATAATAAGCTTGCTGATGGCTGCAGGGAAAATAAAAAACACCAACGATTGGATATCGCAGCAATCCCTATCTCACAGAATCTCTCAGCAGCGCACCAAGTGTGGACTGCTCTAAAAGGTCCGAGAGGCTGCTGTGACCCTCACCCTTTGACCCCGCTGATATCGAGATCGCATGATGCCTCGTTGGTGACGCGAAGGCTTGCGGAGTGCAAAGATGAGTAAATCTTCCAGAAAGGACTGTCAGAAAAATGAAATGACTCTTAGGTGTCTTTCACCAAAAATGACTGTCCAGAAGAAAGATACCACCCGACTAAAAATGACTTTACTATTTATCTGAGATTGGCTGAAAGAATTTAACGGGAAAGCACTTTCATCTTACTGAAGCGAGCAAGTGTGAAAACTTGAACTTAAGAAATATTCTTGTGAAAATTGACACGTGAAAATGGTGAAACAAAAGACACTAGAGCAACATTCAAGTTGATTTTCTAGCAAGAAAAGTATATTTTGTGATTTTGTAATTCTTCTCAAAACAAATTGACAAACACAAGGTACAAAACACAAACCTTGCATTGATTTTCATGACTTCAAGTAAGAGTTAAAAAGATGTGGCAGTGTTTGCATGGTTCAGAGGGTGAATGTGTTTTGAATAAGTTGGTGAAGGTAAAGTGCTGCAGAAACCAAATCTTGCAAAACTATGAGCTATTATGAACAAAAACCCGTGTTCTCTAAGTGACAGGCAGTCGATACAGTGGATAACATCTACTGCTCATCTCGCTCAGGTGTTCCAATGAAAACCTCAGGTCTTTTATTGGCCTGTTTTACAGTCAGCCTTAACCTGTGTAACCAGTTGTCTTTGATCGACCTTCAAGCTGTAATCCGAGGTATTTAAACTTTTTATTTGGAGACATCTTTATTAAGTGACTGTACGTCTCAGTGGAGGGCTCAGACGGAAAAACACGATGTCATGAACCTCCATGCACCAATCAGGTGGGTGGGTTCTTTGCTTGTGTTGCAAGGCCATTGTCAATAAAAATCCAAACAAACCACACCCACAAAGTCCTGTTGAAGTGGATTATCTTGGTTTTTATAGTAAGAAAATTGAAGAATGTTTCTTCTCAACTTTAACTTTGATTGTTGTTGTTTTAGTCACAAATAGTTTGTGTCAGAGAGAAATACTAATGATTTGAAACTGGAGCTTTACCAGTCCAGTTATTTCCTTCATATTTGGTATGCCACAGTAGTGAAAAACACAGCTGACATCTGGAATAAATGAGTGTACAAATGTGTTGTAAATTGAGGAACTGCAGAAAATGTGATGAATTAGGGCTGTCCCGATATCAAATTTTCACATAAGAATTCACGATAACGATACTACAACGATATCTATAGAAAATTTGAAAAAAAAAAAAAAAAAAAGAAGAAAAAAATCAATCAGCTCTCAGTCAAATTAATCTTTAACTGTGTTTTGTATCTTTTTTGGAAAAATGAATTAGACTCAAATATGAGTGCAGGGAGGCAGAGAGAGAGAGTCTGTGACAGAACAACGTACAAAAGAACAATTGCACTGAATGAATGGTGAAAAGGCAACCAGATGATCTGATAGACAAAAGATCCACAAGACTTTACATCTGCCATCTAAACCTAAACTTTTTGATTGAAGTCAGGGCTTTAAAAGTTTGGTTCAAGTCAAGATGAGTGGCTGAAACTCCTATTATTCATAGTTCTTGGGTCAATTTACGGCCACTATACTGTAAAATTAACTCGTTTATCTTAAAACATCAATACGGTAGTTTAGAAAAAGGTTGCTCGCTGCTTTGAATGTACGATACAAACCACTGACAAAAACTTAATGAAACATCTTTTTAAATGTACTGTCGTCTTCTTAAAACTGCTTTTACCTTGAATAAGGTGGATATTGTAGATGAAGTCAAGCTATCCATGTGGAAATGTGTTTGAAGGCTACACAACCTTGTTAACTATACAACACTGGCAATGATTTAAAAGAAAAAATGTAATCACATTTCTACTATGAGATCGATTTTCTTAAATGGAGTATCGTAGCTTTTAAATAAAAGAATAAAGCCCTGATGTATTGTGTCTTTTTACTCATGGATGAATAGGGTTTTTTATTAAACATACAGGGCATGCATGGTCTTCTACTCCCTTCATAAAAGCTTCATACAAAACACACTACTGAATAGCTTCGCCAGGAAGATCTCATTGCCTGTCAAGTATATTTATGCATTACATTTTAAACTCCCCTCCGCCAACTAAAATCATTTCATCTTTACATAAAATCCAAATAATTGGTGAATGGCATGACCTAACAAATGAACCTCAAGCATTTGATGGTTGATGTGAAAGCCCAAGGGGAAGCCTGCTTTTCTAGCTGGTTTCTACCTCTGACTGGCTGGCCCTGCTTCTCGATGAAGGTCCACATCCTCTCGCTTATCAGCCTCGCAACTCAGTGGATGTTTTGACAAGCCAGTCTCTTTTCACCAATTATTTCACCCATTATGGATCACATTGTGCACAGCCCCACCCTGTGCACTCAGTTTCTGGAATTATGATCAATCTGAACATGCAGGGAAGACTTTGTGACTGTATTGGAGTCAATATAATACAGATAAAGCACAATATCATCATAATGTGTTGTATAATTTCACATTTGAAATACTGGAGAGTGCATTATTATCAGGTGAAATTCTTTTACTGGATTTCATTATTATTGTATTGTCTCTAAGCTGTTAATTCTCACTTTGGCCGTTATCAAATTAAAGTAATTTCTTTCCTCCAGACTTGAAAGTGTCTGATTTTCATTTACAGCAACTCAAACTTTCCAACCATCTCAAAGGCAATTCTCTGAATGCAGCTGCCATACTGTGATAACAATAACAAACCACACAGTGCTACTGAGCAACTATTATGCCGGTGAATTATCAAGTTATCATCATAACATAGGCAATTTGCTAAATTAAGATTCTAAAATGAATAAATGAGACTTTATAACATTGTTGATAAACTCCACACAGTATGGCTCGTGACTGTAGTTAAGATATTGGTCCTGAATAATGTATTGTATCTGACAAACGTTGTGGGAGACTTACTGAATAACAATTCCTTGATGCCTTTCATTGCAGCATTTCACAATAACTTAGAAAGCTTCATCCCCTTGCAAATATCTGTAACGTTAACACGTTTATCGCAGAGGAAAAAATCAATAATAAATAAATACACATGCACATCTTCTCCCAAAGGATTTGTGTAATTTCTTTAACTAAATTAAATAGCTGACAGGAGAAATACCCAGGGAGTCAATCTTCAATTCTTTTTTATTACTGGAATCTTTATACATGTTTTGCTTTTCTTTTCTTTAAAAAAAAAATCTACTTATCCAATGTGAATGATTCTTAAATGGATTTCCAGATGGAGATTAGTACTGTACACAGGAGGAAAAAAAAAGAGAATATCTCAATCAAACCTTTACTAAAAAGAAAGTCCTTTGATGCCATGATTATACGCAGGTCACACGATGGATAAAATGGAATGAATGGAAGTATTGATGTGAGGAGAGATGAAAGCAGAGGCCAAATGGATGAAAGAACAGGCGACGCACATTCAACATTGCTTTACATTTATCTAGGACATTCAGGCTTCATCTCTTTTTTTGAATTTCCTCAGCAATTTAATTGCTGTTGTAACAGCACAAATGTCCTTAAATCCCTTTGATTAACAAAAACACTCTTTAGCCCTTAAATGGACATTCATACAATATGTTTTTCATGGCCTTGACTTAAAGTAAGAGGATGAATTTAATTACATGAATCAAGTCTTAATTCTAATCTCATACCGACAGTGACATGATTAGTGACATTTTTTTTGTAAGTGAAATAATCATATTTATCACAGGGCACAGGGTGCAATTTGATGTGACTTATGTCATGGAAATATTGCCAATATCCACCACTATATAAATTCTCTTTCATTGATCACCAAAGTGGCCACTGGAGAGCGACTTTCAATGCCACACAAGGCGGCGGGACTCTACGTGCTGTGTGTGTGTGTGTGTGTGTGTGTGCGTGTCTGTGGGGAGGGGAGGGGGCAAAGAGCTATATTTATTTGACTTCATTGGGTCTGTCTTAATGCAGGGTGCCCCAAGGACTACACCACAAAACAATTAGCCTGGATTTCATAAAGCAATCAGCATGCCACCTTGTCTAATGCAACCGCTTCATACATTGACAGTGTGAATAAAATGGGCGTTATTGAAAGCTTTGTGTTCATGTTAGCTTTCGCCTCAGTGCATTTATGAATCAATTTTTGCCCATAAAAGAAGCTTTAACACTTAAGCTATTTTAGTGGAAATGCATTATGTAAGTTGTCAAATGTACGAGAGAGGCCTGGTAACGATTCAGGCTATTCAGAATGAACAGCCAACCCCCATTTTTATAATGGTCCTTTTGAAAATGTCTGGCTGAGTGCATGTGTTTGCTATTAAGATGTTGTCAATCATTTTGCCACTGAAATCTA